TGACTGCATGGTTGTCCAGCCTTCGCTTAAAGGCGTCCAAAGACGATGCCATAGCTACGTCTGCCGTTAAGGAATTCCAGGGACGACAAACCCGCAGTGAAAAGAAGCGGGAGCGCACCCGGGTCCTTGCCCTATGGTGAGTTATCCTTCTGGGACTTCCACGTGGGAGCCTATACCTACTCAATCGCAGAACACATTTGTTTGGATGATTCTGGTCATTTGTTATTTTGTAGGCAGTAATCAAATCCCCCTAAGTCGACGGTAGCTAAGTGTGAACAGGTCTAATTTCTTCAGCCTTTCATCATACGGTTTGTTTCGGAGACCAACTACTCCTTTTGTTGCCCGTCGTTGGACTCTTTCCAATAGGTTGGCGTCTATTCTCAGCATTGGAGGTGCATTAATATTTTGCACCTCAAGGTGTGGCCTGACGTCGGTTTTGTACAACCTTATAAAGAGCTCAGAAGTGAGTGCACCTAACTGTCTATGCGTTAAGTGTATGACTGCATATGCCGTCGCTACATCCCCCGTATAATTTGCGCTTGTGTCCATTTTTTCTGTTAGAAATAGACCTAAGTCACGTTCCGACGTTGTGCAGGACAAGCTTTCATTGCACAAGGTGTAATTTGCATTCTGCAGTCTACAGGTGCTCAACTTCACTACTTTGCACTTTTTCAGTTTGAAAGTCATGCCACTGGCCACCGCTCAGTCTTCCAGAAGGTTTAGATCTTCCCGCAGCCTGAGTCCTCCAGACACTTTATCGCCCTCTATATCTTCACGTCGTCAGCGTATAGGAGAGCCCATACTCATTGAATCGCAGGACACCCTTGTTTTGGGTGATTCTAGTGATTTGTTATCCTGTAAGCAGTAATCATATCCCCCAAAGCCGACGGTTATTAATTGTAGATAGGTCTCATTTCTTTATCCTTTCATCATACGGTTTATTTAGGCGACCAACTACTCCTTTTGTCGCCCGTCTTTGGACTCTTTCCAAGAGGTTGGCGTCCCTTCTAAGCAGTGGGGGGTGCAACGATGCTTTGCAATTTAAGGTGTGGTTTGATGTTTGTTTTTTAAAACCTTAGAAAGAGCTAAGGAGTGAGTGCATCCAACTGTCTATGTGTGAAATGTATAAACACGTGTGCCCTCACTACATCCCCCTGAATGGCAAACGCAGAAATTCTAGTCGTCCGAAAGTTATAATGATAGCTTTTTTCGGAATATCTTCTGTTGCCCCCGGGATTTGATTACGCGCTTTAATCAAGTCTATTTTCGAGAAAGCACCTCCGCCAGATAATGTTACCTTCAAATCGTGTGTGTGTGTGTGAGGCAATGTATGGCAATCAGGGGTCGTTTTGGTGTTTACTCGCCGATAATCACCAATGGGTCACCAATCGTGGCTACGTTTTATCGGTATAATATGAAATGCGGATGTCCATGGGCTATCCAATGGCGGAATGATACCCAAGATGAGCATATTGTGTAATTCGTAACTAGCCAGTCTTAGTTTGTCGGAAGCAAGTCGTCGCGTTTTAGATGTCACGGGTTCTCCTGAGGTTATGATGTGATGCACAATATTGCTGGTTATGCATGGTAGACCTTTAGGCAGGGAATTAAGTTCCCGATACCTGTAAGCAATCGGATGGAAAGTTGGATCAACAGTCGACCTCTTTCTAACCAGTGACAAGTTATGCCCTAAGTAGATGATTCCTTTAATAGTCAGTTTGGTAAAACCGTCTCTCAGCCGTTTTCGGAGGACATCCACGAGTAAGTCATGATGGCTAAGTAGGTCAGTGCAAATGATGGGAATTGTGACCTCAGTGTGAGAGAAAATCCGCTGAATAGGTTAGCGTAGACCTATGTTCAGATAGTGGCATTTCCTACAAAAGGTTGCAATTGGTTGGTTTCCCATTAGCAGCCGGTGAGTTGAAGGCAGTTTCCTTCTGTCAACCTTCTGCTGAAGCAGATAGGACGCTGACTTCAATACGTGTGTCGACCAAGTGTAGTGTGCGGTTGACTACATCACGGATGTATAGTAGATAACTACTGCCACGGGTGACGGTTGCCACTACCACGAGCTATTGCCAAAATTTCATGGTCTGTAGCAACATTTCGCTTCCTGGCCATAGGTGCTGTGACCTCAGCACCAGTCAGTGTTTGTAGGTGAACGTGGTTTGGATTTTGACCGGCCACGTGGGTTACATCTTGGCAGGAATTCGGATGAGGATAGGAGGAATTACGGGGACTGCTTGACCCAAGTATTTGCGTAACGGAGTTTCTTAACACTATCACTGCAGTGTCACTACTAGGAGTCTGTTTGGCAGTTGAGCACATCTCAGTATCTGTCTAGAATTTTATTAGAAGAAGTAGCTAAGGCGTCTATAATACCTTGAGGTGTAACAAGCTCAGCCTGCACTCACCGGCATTTTGGATAAAAACAGTTCTCTGAAAAGTCCTTCATCAAACTGACGTTGACCGATAAATTCCCTCATTCTCGTCAGCATGTTCGCAGCCAACTGATCCTCCAACTTCAGGTTCCGAAATAGTTCAGCAAGACGCTGTCGATCCGTGACGTTGTTTTTGTTCAGGAGGTTCGTTGCAAGCAACTCATATGAGGTACTTAACTCAGGGTTCGACACATACACAATATGGCATTTTGCTGAATTCTCGCGGTGGGGCGTGGACAACAGCAAGGAGCTGTGAACGTTGGTAAGTTAACCCATATTCGGTGAATTCAGAAACGATTATCGGATTATATCACATGACTTATCGCACAGTGCCATTGTGCATCAGCAATAAGCAGAACAGTGAATACCCTCATGGCCGAAGAAACACGACCTCTATTTTACCAGTAGGAAATAAGTACAATAGCTGTGAGTAGTATTTAGCATATGGATAGTTTCAGCGATTCTGTAGAAAATTTAAGATATGATAGACGGCAAGTTTTGCATTTAGGATACTTCACTGAACAAGCAGTCCCATATAGAGTACAATGAGTGGCCTGTTATGGAGGTAAACAAACAAGGAAATTATTTATATGAGCATATATTAGTAGGTGGAGATATATTGATAGTTAGTCTTAAGAAGCTCATTCCTGAACAACTTTGGGATAACATGAAACTAAGTTAATTATAAAGTCCTTTAGATAAGAACAGTGAACCTTGGTAAATTATCAAAATTTTTCTGCACATTTCATGAGATTCAGACACATTCCACTTGAGTTTTTAAAGTTTACTTGCTCTACTTTGTACTTGGTTCCACATTCTGATGATGTCTGTACTTATAAGATGCAAACAGGTAAGGAAATGTGAATCACGATTCAGGATTTGTATCTATGCACGTCTGGCTTCGTACACAGGTGCGCTCACTTTGAAGTGTTCGTTACCTTTTTGAAGACTCATTGAGTTAGTTTTCTATTACGTCGCTGTTATTAAGGTCTTGAAATAATATTGGTTTCAAATATCTTTGGATTAAAATCAAACCTTGCCATCCCCTTTGATCGACTATAACACTAACCTTTAAAAATGTTCTCGGTGTTAAATACCTGTAGTCATGACTCACGATAATTAAACAATTGATCTACTTTGTTGTCGACTGTCATATATTTGGTGGTTGCTTGGTTAAAATTCCGTTTTTTGGAATAATTTTCAGTCATATCTGTTGTAGTACTTCCGTGGAAGTTGCTGAAAAATACTCACTAGCAAGTAAAACTCCGTAACATATAAACTCAAAGTTATGAAGCGCCATAATGGCTATTATATCTTCGTTGCAGTGGTTCATCTAATTGGTATAAAAGTAGACGTTTTGCATCCCTATGACAACTCTGAAAGTCTCTATTTTGTTAACAGCGTCGATCTTCCTGTATAAAGGTTAAGAAAACTTAGCCATATTAGAGACAATAGGCTCAGAATTACGTGATTGTCGCAAATGTCAGGTAGTGTCTGTTGAGAACTTGCAGATGGGATCTTGAATACAGGCATCCAAAATGAAACAAGTACGATAGCAAGGCTTTCTGATGTTATGTCCAGATGTACCTTTTGTTGGACTCGTATTAGTATCAGATAATTATGTGCAGCGTTGTACTTATAATGCACGGAAATGTGGCAGTATATATTTTTTTCTGCAGCTCCGGCTGATAATGACGACTGGTTATTTTCAAACTGGATTTGGTGGTTTGACTTTTGAATGATATATTAATAACTTAACTGGAAAACCGTATATTTGCGTTGCGAGTGAATAAAAATGTGTAATTCAGGAACAACCACCTAAAGTTTCTATCGATTTCCTAATTCATTGATAGAAAATGTTTGCAAAGATCACTTGCTTTGTGTCTCTTACTAAATGTTTAACCTTTTTGCATTTCGCCAGATTCACTAGATTTTGATTCTCGGTATAATTATTGTTTCTTCACATTCCCACTTTTTGTAGTTTCATCGCATTTCATTACTTTTGTGTATGCTTACATGAAGTTTGGCAACTTAAACTGCTACAACCGGTGCAAAGTTTACTTGAAAGATTCATTTCAGTTTGCTTTGATATAGGTTGGTCAATAGTTGGAGCTGGTTCAACCAAACCGTGGCATGGTAGTGGAAGTCTTTAGCTGGATGCAAGGCACAGGAAAGTTTACGGATCCAGATGCTTTGTTAACGTTTCAAGACTAGTGGTCACACTGCTTAAAGTCGTTCACAATGGCGCAGATGTATTCACTTATGTTTTCATGCAGAATTTGAGAATACCCACTAGTCTTCATTTAATTGTTTCTTGATTTGTGCATCTCACACAATTTAATCTCATATAACTTCTTGATTTGTACATTTCGGAGGTATTTCAACCTAAACTGACGCATCTTTTTGTAAAGAACTACATTAATCAGTCGATCTGTCATGCAGAATATTAATATTCCTTCAATATCTTTTTATCATTTTTTTCAGTGAGCATCAAGTTCTCAATCACACTTTTAAAGATTACTACTTCTGCCTTATCTTCAATAATTTAACTCCAAATCAATGAATATCTTACCTAAAAAGAGGTGAGCTTTCCCACTTCTTATTACTCCTCTAGGTGGCATGTACTGAAGAAGGAGAACATTGCCCGTGTGAGAGCAGATGAGGCGAAATTTAATGAAGAACAGAAAAAGATCGAAATTAAAGCACAGCTTGCTGTATGTCTCTTTAACACCACTGAATTGACTTTCTGCGTTTAGGACCAGGAAGCAAGGGTAGATTACTTGAGAAAACAGAGGAAAATTAAATCGTCATCTGCCTCTGGCTTAGATGGATTCCAACTGGCTTTAGACAAGGATAATGTCGTAAGTTAAAGGTCGATTAATCGGAGAGCCAAAAGCTAAATGTTTCGCAAGGAAATATTGATTATGAAAAAGAAAAGAAAGAAGAACAGGAAAAAAAGGAAAAGGCGATCGGTCTTCTAACATACTTAGGTCAAACTGTTCTGGATGCTGCAGGTGAAAAACCTTGGTATGATATACATCCTCGAGATCATCAGCGGCGTGAAAGCGAACGTAAAAAGTAAGTACTGTAAAATTAATTCCAACTGTATAGAGACAATGAGGAGATGGAAATAAAAAAGAAAATCTTGGCTGATCCGCTGACAGAAATGAAGAAAGTTGAAAACATGTTTAAGCACCATAAGGAAATGAAAAAACAACAAGAAGCCAGTGAATTACAACGCGCTAATGCTTGCATCCATGCAATGCCATCTCTGTTTCCTGATGACATAATAGTACCAAAGCATCAAAATCAAAAAGTAAGATTAAGCTCATTAGTGATTTCATCGCTTCTTAGTTTTTACGAGTATAGGATTGCATGGGCGAGCATTTCTGCTTATCACCTCCACTAAGACTAGAGTATATTAGGACCTTACGACTCTTCAAACCACTTTTTGATATTTAAATCAGATTTTTGTTTATACATTATTCCTTTACGTTCCCAGTAGAACATAGGGCTTGAAGTTTCAAAACTACTGATTGCACTTATTTCTTTTATTGTGGCCCTGAAACACGTAAAAGGTTGTAAACCTATGTGGCATCATTGGATTAAAGTTTAACCTAAAATAAAACAGGCTGATTGAAAGCAACAATGATTGCTATAATTTGTGTTTGTAAATAACTCTAACCAAATAAGATGCATTAATATATGTGTAAAAATTGGGCACTGTGGTAGTAATTAATTCCATATTAGTTTGTTTATTAGATGTATCACACAGTGAATCAGTATTATTTATTATTATCGAGTAGATAATACTGTTTTACTGTGTGATACATCTAATAAACAAACTAATATGGAATTAGGATCCATTAAGGTAATGAACGTGCGTCGGTGGAACAGCGGTTAGGACGCTCGCCCACCATGCACATGGTCCAGGGTTCGATTCTCGGCCGACGCACTCCCTTACCTCGCTAAGCCAGAAAAAATGCTGGTAAAGAGGGAAGGTTGGGCATGAGGCTAGCAACCCCGTCCTGTAAAAATAAACATTGCTACAGAAACTTCAAGCCACTAGCTTGAGGCCCTATGTTCCAATGTTAACGTGAAGGGAAAAAAGGTAATGAACACAATAGCATCATTTGTTCGATGTTATTTAAAAAAACCTGCTGGTAGTTTTCATAACCCTCTGCTTATTTTTTACTGAACTCTTTAGGGTAGCAATAAAGTCACTTTTCGTAGTCGTTTGTGTTGTCTTATTATAGAGATTCATAAAAACGATGAAAGGTCGCAATAGTAGTTAATGTCTTTGATTATATATTCCACTTAGACTTACACCAACTTCAATTCGAGCAAACTAAGAGATGCATTTTATTGGTAGGTATATATGTGTGTTACTAAATGATTTTAACACTCATGTAATGACTTGCGATGGGGCTATAATAGTGAATAGCTTCGCGATAAAATCGAGTGCAAAATGTTACCCCAGTACAGCAAGATGACCAGTTTATTGTTATTATTAAATACATAATATTACAGATGCCGAGAGATGTGCCACACAAAATCCTATTGCTCGTACGACGGATGGGATACTGCTCAGATGCCCAGATCGAAGCAGGTGGTTGTCTTAGGGAGCCACCCCCGACCCGTTGGCTTAAAACCTGATCCAAATGGCAACGGAACAACGTCGAGAGTTACTTTCCCATGCTTAATGAGGATTAAAACGGGTTCATACGCCATTCTGTCCTTTCAGATTGTGGGGCCCATGCACACCACGGGTTTCGAACCAGGATTTTCCAGCTCCCCTAGGTAGACTAGCATGTCCACCAGTCGGGTTGTATACGCCAGATGTTTGCATTTGCTATCACTTGTGGGGAACACAGTCGCGTGTAGACTGTAAATATGACTTACCTGGCAGGGACTATGAACGCGTGACCATATGGGAGCATTTTGGGAGTAAAACTGATGGCTGTCCACCTTAGTCGCATCAGGTAATTATGAGGGTAATTTGGTCTGGTAAAATAAATATCAGTAGACTGAATTATTTCTACCAATTTCTAAAGAAAAACCTGATCTTTCTCCCAAATATTCTCGCAAACCTTAATATGATATCAGCTTTCCTTTATTTATAGATAGCTGCACAAAAGAAAGTAGAAAATGGAGATCGTTCAAAATTAACCGAATCTATACTCACACTTAGTGAGCATACGTCGAAAACATCACCTGCAGAAGTTCTTAAATTTGATGATAAAATTGAGAAGTCAAATGTAATTGAAATGGCCAAGAGTTCAGAAATCAATCGTCTCCGAGCACAACGACTACAGCGCGAGCGAAAAGAAAGAGACAGAGCCGCAGTCTTGCTAGCAAAGTCCATGGGGTTGACAGATATCTTAAGACACCCGATTGAGGAACAAGTTTGCGTTGACGAACGTAAACTGCCCTTCAATTCTGCATTTAATCCTGAACTGTCTGCCGTTCTATCAGAACGACGTCGACGCCACAGAGAATCACGGAAACGACATTACGATGAACAAGACTAGATTTCTTATATGAAGAATGATAATTACGTAAATTATATATATATATATACCGTCTTTATCTAAAACTGTTCACAATACGTTCTAGTATTTGCAGTGACACTATTTTAAATGTGATTTCGATCAGCGGCCTCTCCACATTCTGATTTTAACGGAAACATTAATATGTACCAAGAATGGCTTTATTCCTTTGTTTTACTAGTGGGTCTTATGGACTTACGTGTGCAGCAGTGCTTCCGATAATCAAGATACTATCAACGACAATGCAGTAGAAAGATTCATCAGAAAATAATTTGATTTGTTAATAATAAAGAAAATCTACTAACACTAATAACTTCTATTTTTCTCAATTACCCAGTAAACGTCGGTATTGCTGACAGCTCCATGGAATTTAAAACAAGCAATAAATGTTAATAAAGCAGGACTTAATGAATTCACCAGATTTCCGTAGAACTCATCAGCTGAATACTCTACATACACGGATATATACATACTTTTGAAATTAAATTGGGAGATATAAGACTACATTGAATTAGTCATGCACAAAGACAGGTGCGAATGTTTTCCAGGTCATGTTCAAATAGATAAGTGGGCAGAGAGTATGAGAGATCAATATTAAGATAAATTGCATTGCGCCTCAATTACATCACTTAGATAAACAATTAGTCATTAGAGAATATAACAAGAAATGCAAACAGACTAATATCAATAGTAATAGTTATAATGATAATAGTGTTGAAGTGAATTAAGATAATCCTACTGATAAACGTTAGTTTTAAATGAATCAAGAATAATAATGATAATAATAATAAGAGGTAGAACAACAAGTAAAACGTATTACCATGGAAGATTCAGAGTCACGACCATCTCCTTTTGTACGCAGAGACCTGGTTTATAAACTCGAATTGCACAAGCCTCTGCAATAGCAAGCATCTTCCTGTTTCTTTGTCTGTTGACAATAGTGAATGACTTGACCGCGTCAATCTCATGTCCATAGTCCACAAAATGTTTTGTTATTGAAGATTTTGGCACTTTGCACTCAGCTGTTTTCAACCATTTTGGCAAATGCTCCATCATGTGAGTAGACAATCGCCTTTCTGTACGACCTATGTATTTGCTTCTTATAGATGGACGTAATATCACACCCAGCTATTAAATTCACTTGTGAAGAGGAACTCCAAGGTAGTATTCCATTTCCGGATGTTCTTCTTACAAAAAGAACAGACGGTACCTTAAAGAGAAACATCTATGGGAAAGCGAAGTGGAACGGACAATACACCCACTTACATAGCTTCGTACCTATACAATATAAGCGCAACCTAATTCGTTGTCTTAGTCATAGAATTAGACGCATATGTACCGACGATTGTATTGAAGATGAAATAAAAAATCTTACAAACGCCTTGCTACAAAACGACCATCCTATTAACTTTGTAAAGAAGTATATCTATGAAACTACACATAAAACTAAGCGAGACACAATAAGAAAAAGCTTTACTTAAATGTACAACTCAAAGGTGATATATTAAACCATAGATTAACGAGATCAATTGAAAGAACTTTCAATGACGTTTCTCAACCAAACGGATATTGACACTGTGCATTAAAAATAGATTACCCAAAATGGCGACATCAATGTGTGTATATAAATTCAACTGCTCCTGTGGAGCTAGTTATATAGGTCGTACCCAAAGGAATTCATCTTTACGCACTCGTGAACATATTCATGTTTGGCTTGGGAAAAGGGCAACCAAATCATTAAATAGTGCAATTCTGTCTCATCTAGTGGATAGCGAACACAGCATCAAAGTAGATGAGTCATTTATAGTTGTGTATCGAGTACCGAACAATCTCCCCAAAGGCACACGATTACGCCTCCTAGCCATAGCTGAGGCTTTAGAGATTAAGAGGGAGAGACCAAACCTATGTGTACAGAAAAAACCTATTCACTCTCTTTGTCTACCCTGGCCCACTATAAGGTCACCAGGATCATAATTTTTCGTACTATTATTATCATTTTGTAATATCATATCTCTATTATCCATTTCTCCATCCAGTTTATTTCCCCCCATTGTTACCCTTACTTTTTGTCAACCGTTATAATTATATACTAAGCCTACCAATTCTGTAGCATTTTATTACAATTTAGCCTCTTTATTTTATCATTAAACATTATCGGTCAGCCCTCACATTCAGTGTCCCCTTTGTTAATGTGTGTTTTTATGTATTTTGTGGTTATCGCATTTCTGTCACCCCAAGGACACTTGTATTCTGTTAACTATAAAACAACATTATATCACCCAATTTTTCATTCACACTACATCACATTTCTTCTGACTATACACCCTATACACATTTGATTGACTATGTTAACTAATGCACTATCATCTCAACTTATACATGCACCCCAATACAGTTTCTGATATTATTTTCACTTGCCTTTATTGGCTATATGTACTATATTATTCATGGATTTATAACTGTAGAGCCTGAAGAAGCAGTTATCGAAAACAACTGTTCGCTCAAAACCTTGTTTTGTTTTCGATATGGGAATTTTTCATTTACCTAATAAAAATGTCATCAACATATCTTAGGTATACATCCATTTCTTGTGTATGTTGCTGCAAGGTACCGGTTTCTAGGCCTGACAAGAATAAGTCTGCGAAAAGTGGTCCCATAGGCCTTCCCATTGCAACGCTATCATGCTCCAGGGAAAGCACGACTAAACATTACCTTTCGAAAGACGGCTGGCAGACTGACTTTAAAAAAAATCACATTAGGTAAGCTTCATGAACTGAACGTTCTCAGTTAAACTATCTTTGCGATACCTTTCGTGTTTTTTAAATACTTGTGAACCTCCTATCCTTCACCATATACAACTACTTAGGCCTACTCAACGACTTTTATTCCATAACTGTTAAAGGTTATTGTGAATATAGACTGCGATCACTCTTGCAAAAGTACATCGTACTCATTTGCAAATGCTAATTCGTAATTTGAACAACTCATCTGATGTCACACTGAAACAATAATGTCTGCATACTAACTGTTGAGTGGCATTTTCTCGATTAGAACCTTACATCAATCACACTAATATGTACTATAAAGGGGTTGCCAGTAACTAAGAGATGACAGGGTCAGGTGGTCCCATTGTTCGTTTGCATTCCTAGAAAGGGATGAGTATATTATTTTTTAAAATTTTGATTACAGGTTGATGCCACACCGTATTTCCAGCATGTGATATCGGTAGCCCAAGTTTTGCAGGCCGACCATAGATATCAGGTGTGCGTCAGCAGGGGATCGAACCTCGGACCATGTGCATGGTCGGCGAGAGTCCTAACCACTGTTCCACCGACGCACAATTTAGACAGCAACACGATAAAAAGCATATTCCTATAGAGTGTAAACTGCTGACAAATAGGGCTGTTATAGCGGTGAGGTGCTTAAGTCTGACTATCAGCAATGCTGCTTTTCTTCTCCAGAAAGGCAGAAAACGTCGGTTTCAGAACTATATATGCCAATTTACTCTGCAGTTACGAGGTTTGGATATGTAACTGTCTAAACCCAGCAATCAATGCATCCACGATATTAATAAGACATGGTGTTCTCCACCTGCTTTTCTTGACAAAGGTCAGGATTTCTGATCTGATTATAAGCATATTTAAACTTAATGGTTGCTGCGAAAATATCTTTTCAGAATATTGAAATATTATCAGTTCATGAACTAGATAGTTACATCTTCGGTCATAGTCTTTTTTAAGTTATTTTGATAAGGTTTGCAGTATATTGAAGCAAGTTTTTCCAGAGGATGACTTGTAGTCTCCTGTGAACTGCATGATAGAAGCTGTAACTTGGATCCTGGACTCATCAAAATGTGTAGCGAAGTTTTCTCTTTGACATCAAACAACCAACCACTATTGCATCGACTTGGTAGAAGCAAATACTAACAAGTGATGAATGAATAGGATTTGCTGTTGTCTAAGTTGTGCCTCCACTGCTATAAACAAACTCTGATGATATTTTACTCTACATCATACTTTGTATCAGGTTTCATTTTACATCAAGCAATTTAACAAAATCTTTGGATACACTGTTGGCTTAGGTACTTGACTTTCAGTCAAAATGGGTCCGAATACTCTCCACCTACTTCAGCCTGAGCAACTGAATCATATTATCAGTTCTCATACAATATGTATAGTTCATAGCCTGAAGCATGGGAAATCTGTTTTGGCTAGCTGAGTTAACGACTGATGTCATGTCCGCTGGGGAAATATGACCCGATTTCATTCTTACATCACAAACCAAATACTTGTTAAACGGCTACAACTATCGTCTTTCGTGCGAATATTAACCTTATTTCACTTAGAAAACGGTCACACACATTTCAAGAGCATACAGTTAGGAGATGGATAGTTTGTTAGAATTGACCAGTATTTATATTGGATATCTCTGGTACACTACTATATATTACATGGAGGATTTAATCATGAGCTGACATCAGTTAGAGAACCACTGGAAAACCTGGGAGTACTGGACAGCTGTTTCGTCCTAGTTTGGGACTCTTCAGCAGTACGCGCCCACCGGGATTCGAACCCAGGACCTTCTGGTTACAAGGCGAGCTCGTAGACCATTGAGCCACTGGGACCCGATCCAATGGTCCTTGAATTCTAACTTCTGCGTACTGCTGAAGAGTCCCAAACCAGGACGAAACGGCTGTCCAGTACTCCCAGGTTTTCCAGTGGTTCTCTAACTGATGTCAGCTCATGATTAAATCCTCCATGCAATCAAACAAAATCCCAACAAAACCAATACTTGAAAATACTATATATTAGTTGCGTGCCAGTTTTGTCAACAATTTCGCTGTTCAAACATTTTCTTCATGTAAAGTAACAGATACAGATGAACTTCTAGGTATGATAATCAGTTCCAGCTTTGAGAATGTTATTAGAGAATGGTGACCAGCAGATGAATTGACGCAGAACTTTGCACAAAAGTGCCACAATTAGGGAAACCATAAAAAATGAGAGGACAAAAATATATTGACAAATATAGCTATGATGGTAGCAATAGTTAAATGAAGACTAACGGAGTCTAGATGATAAGGAAGAATCACATTAACGCTACAGTGAAAAATTACGAGTTATGTCACCAACAGTTTAAAATCATTTGTTTTTAAGAACTCAGACTATTACGCCAACTGTTCAATCGATGCCATACTTTCGTCTGACTTCTCAATTTATACTCTAACTTTCCAACAGTATTTATCTTTCGGGAATTAAGAGACATGAACCGTCTACACTAACAACCCCCAATGCAGTGATAATTCATCGAAAAATACACAAGAACCTGACGACTGGTATTTATTGATGGTGAAAATGCAGTTATTTAAGACAGCTTTGATTTAACTTTCGTGCAATTAATGGCAGGGTTTTCACATCAGCTGACTTATTTGTTAGATTAAGAATAAAGAAATTTGCACAGATTATACAATATTTTAATTAGAAAATTTCTGATTGAATGGAGGGTAACAATCACGAATTTGAGTATGAATTATATAAAAGATTACTTCTCGTATTTTACAGCATATTAAATATGTATTGCCTATTGATGTACAAACCTTTAAGTATTCAGCAAGTTAGGCTTTGAAAAATCTAGATAGTGCTCAGGAATGTCGATACCCTGACTCGTGATGTCTATTGGGAAGAGTTTTTTAATAATACATTCCAGGCATTGGCTTAACTGCAACATGGTAGGACGTAATCCAGGATCTACAGACCAACCACTAAAAAAGGCATCAAAATTTGAAATAATTTTACTTAGAACAATGTACATTCTTTTTAAAAATTACTTGTGAAACTTTACTATATATATATATATATATGTCTCGTAAGTTGTCGACTTGACGCAGACACAAAACGTTGGTTTTACAAGACTACAGTGGAACACGACAACGGATGGTGCAAAATTATACTGTAGGTGCTGAAGCACAAGAATTGAAGTAGCCAAGCGGCTAAGATAGATGTTTGTGTGCCAAATTTGCTGTTCTGACTATTTTCACTGTCATCGATCTCTTGCATAGTTCGCATCACGACTGGAGTAGTCGCCAGAAATACAATAAAAGTAGCTAGCTGTATTTCTTAGAAAAGGTCTCTAATATGAGAGTGTTCGCACCTATATGTGTTATGTTTGAAATCCTGCAAATGACTGAGATGTGTGGAGGTTCTTCATAAAATACTAATCATAAATTCCGCATTAGTTTGTTTATTAGATGTATCACACAGTGAAACAGTATTACTTACTGGATGACGTTTCAAGCAAAATTTATTGTTCCTAATCATATCTATTATAATCACACGACTTCGAAACTTAAGTTTTATAGTCTTCTTTGTTCTCTCCTATTTATCGTCGTTAGGGGTAGTAGAATTTTCCAGATATCTGGGACAGATGTTAAATCATTCCTATTACATGTATTTACAGTTGATTCGATAAACAAAGCTTCTGTTATCAATCTCTCCCTTCACCCTGTGACATTAGATTTTAAAACTGTCATCTTATCCCATCCTATTGTATCGTTGTGTGTAACTGCATGTAGTATTTATCGAATCAACTGCAAATACATGTAATCGGAATGATTTAACACCTGTTCCAGATATCTGGAAAATTTTACTATCCCAACTACGACGAATAGGAGAACAAAGAAGACTATAAAACTTAAGTTTCGAAGTCGTGTGATTATAATAGATATGATTAGGAACAATAAATTTTGTTCGAAACGTCATTCAGTAAATAATACTGTTTCACTGTGTGATACATCTAATAAACAAACCAATATGGAATAATAATAATAATAATACAGTGCCCAAGTTATATATATATATATATATATATATATATATATATATATATATTAATAGTAATTATGAAGATAGTTCATAAAGAATTCAAAACACTGTCATTTCAAATTACCGTGCTTATATGAAACCTTCAAAAGTCACACTGTAACAACAGAAGACAAGGGCCGGCAACAGATCCTTTTATTACGGAAATCAGCACGTATTTATATATATATTTCATGTACATTATAATAGCTTGTTCAAGCAGACAAACACAGTCTTCTGATTGGTTGTTTCTGGTTTCTCGGAAAGTTAAGCCATATATTTGCGAATCTTATTTGCCCACGTGCCCATGTCTGCTGTGATTGGTTGTTGAATCAGCCTTGTTCATATTTTCTCACGGCCAATATTAGTGACCTAGACATTGACGTAAATTAACGTCTACCAATTGGCTAGCAGCCTGCTCTCACCACAACACTATTCATGTAGCTCTCATGAATGTCCTTGATAAAAGCATGCCTAATTGTTTGACAGTTGTGAAGCTTTCACTTTTCAATAGATATGCTTTACAAATAAAATTGGTCTAGATTAACAGATGTGTGTGAGGATCACACCAAACCTATTAAATAAATACATAGAAAATGAAAATATCACGTGTCATACAATGACTAATGGGAAGAAATAGCATACCTTTGAAGAATGCTGTTTATTAATTCAGGACATCCATCTAGCAGAGGTGGTCGTTCAGTAATAGAAGACCAAAATTTATCTGATACATCTCGCCTTTTAAGAACTTCATAGGGTGGCTGACGAGCTAAGAATTCCCAAAATGTGATCATTAAACTATAAACGTCTGATTTCCCCGAATATGGTACATCTTCCCCTACAAATGTTTTACAAAATAGATTATGTGAAGAAAACAGGAACGGAGAACATTTTGTACACGATAGCGTTATTTCAAATTTCCAATTATACCTATAAAATACTTAGAACAACACATTCAAGTGAACAATATTGTTTCCGATTCGATCCCATCAGGTTTAACCCTAATATACATAACATTACAAATAAAAATTCGAAGATAAGCCAATCATGGTGTTTTGCTAATAGGATAATAGGATTGCATATAAATTGTGCGATTAGCCAGGATAACAATGGTTCTATCAATAACACGGATGAAAAAGTGAAGCGATCTGTGATAACAATAACGAAAACAGCATAACCAAACAAACAACTGTTCAGGTAGAAGTTATCGTTAAAGACTAAGAAAAATAAATAGACCTATTAAGGTAATGGTACATTGTAAGCAAAGTAAACAAAATACATTTATTGAAGATGTAATTAGATTCAGGGATGATAAGAAGGGGGTTGAAGATGTAAGGGGTGGTGGAGAAGTCATCAATTGGTTATGTCTTAATAGGCTAAGGGAGGGATAATAGCTGCACGAACTTCTTTTGAATACATAGTTTAGGTTTTGTGATTCGAAGGCTTATTGCTTCAGCTGTGTGCATTAGACGAATACGAAATCTATTGCAGAGATTCGGTGGGATGCGATGAATTGCTTTGAAAGCTATCATTTTCTCTACTACATGACCACTATCAACCAGATGTGACAAAGTGGAGATAAGGTTGGTTTTGTCTATCCTTTGACAAACCAAAAATGGGAGATGTTCGGTAACACGTTGGCTAAGCTGTCTAGCAGTACGCCCAACATAACTGTCACCGCAGGTGACTTGATAAATGCATATAGATGTGGCAAAACTATCTAGATTATCCTTCGTTTGCGTCCCATTCATTCTTCGGCCTGAGAATGACAAACATAGGTGTGCTGCGTAAAATGTTCTTCGTATACTCCTGGAAAATCTCACTTGATAAGTCACTATTAATTTGTAACTTAATAAATAGAGGTTTTTTTGAGCATTCATAGTCTCAGGTTTTCTCTCCAATGTTTCTTTATTAAACTAATCGGATAGCCCATCTGTCAAGGAATCATGAATATATTTAAATTCCTTTTGTAAGTGGTCATCCGTACATATCTTTCTTGCTTTGCTCGTAAGACACTCAAACTTTATATTCAACAGGCACGTAACTAAGGAAGTGTGTGTATTGCCCTGTGAATGTGCCTTTTCTATACACGCTTCTCCAAGTAAGCACTAATATATTTGTATGCATATAAACATTTTATATACACCATAATGTGTGGAACAAACGATAAAAAATAAATGCAATTTAGAAGTCACATATAGATTCATGTTTTACAGTATATTTACCCTAAATGTTATAAATAGATTGTTTTTTCAAATCGCTGGGCTATGTCTGTGGACATACTGAGAGTGCATCCAATACCTAGGTAATACAACTTAAAATAGTCAGATCAGAAGACATAGTAGAGACAAACTGAATTCCCAAAGAGAGAGCTACATTAATCACTGATATGTAGATAGAACTGATAACTAATGCAATTGCAGTAAATAATCCCTAATGGCAGGTTTATATAAATTCGAACATATCTGCACTTCCCCTGACCACCTCAGGTAAATAATAATAATAATAATAATAACTATAAAAGGAATTCTGAATTAAATATTGAAAAACAGTATGTTATCCAACCAGTCCATAAAACTGTCTATAGTCAACATTTTACATGCATAACTGGCATGAAGATCCAGAACAGCAAAGGTAATGCACTTTTTGTAAAAGCTGTTGACTATAGTACTGAGAGCACAGGACACTCTAGAAGACTATTATCAGAAGAAAAGTAATGGTATGCACTCCCAACAAAATCTATATCACTATCACTCTGATAATTGCTAACTTAGTATGGTGGTTGAATTTACATAGATTCCAGTTATCTGGTCCAACTCTTCAGAAAAAAATTTTCAGAAAGATCAGTGGGATAATGGTAAGTTAAGAGGAGACAATAGAAACAGATTACATCCTGGAGGACCTTTGTGCCTGGAATGTCGTACAGCTCACTTAACAGAGATATAACGGTAGTATAATGTGTATTTTGGGTGTGTATTAGTCTGATAGTCCTTGTTTTTCACCCTAGAGAGAAGCAATCATAAAATATCAACCCTTAGAAATGTGTATTGTGTTTTCATTTTCGACTTTGTGTCTCCAGCTGTGATAAAGACATAAACACACAACCTGCGATTGATCAATATTCCTAAAGTCTGCATATTGAAAGTGTCAGAATCTATACGTTTCACCATGAACACAGAGTTCATTAGGATTATAATTTATCTTTTGGTGAGATCTTCCTTTTACAACCTCCTGTATTAACATCGTACTAACTACAGAATACGTAAAACAAACAAATCTCATTCCTCGTCTTTCTAAACGATACTTTTAACACCAAAATTGGCCTCACTGCACGAAACCTTTGCTATTTCTGAATACGGATTTATGTTGCCTTTCAGACACATAAAAAAGTGTACCTACTCACCCATACAGTTAACTTGGTAAATAAGAAAAAATTACTGGATATCTCAAGATTAATTTAAGTGGGTTGATCGGATTAAGAATAACATTCAGTCCTACAAATGGGAACTGTATTACCTATGATAACACACCTCAACCGACTGAGTTTACAACTTGGTTTAGGTAACCCCTCGTTGCTAGCCAGTGCTTATTTCAGAAACTGCAGGAATCTCTTTTTTTACGAACTTTTCACAAAAATGCAGCAGTTACTACATCTGATGAATGCGCAAATAAAGGCAAACAAAAGAAATGCACTAATACTGCTATAAACAGAGATGCACGAATTTTCCAATGATATTAGAAAATCTGGATCAATAAGCAGTGATACTGAATCGTATGTCTACAGTGTATCTGATATATTTATTTAAGTTCTTAAACTGAAGAGGCTCTCCTTTCGGTTGGTCGAGATGTATTGTGGGAATGTTTGAGGGCTAAAAATAGATTCTCTACCGGAATTCAACTATATGATGACTTGTAAATGTTTATCTGAAATGCAAATAGCCGGGTGTCAACTAGCTATAACTACTTTTATTATTGCTGCTGAACTTAATTACAAATGTGCTGAATAATTAAGCTAACAGAACCTATACTTTCTCTTACTTCTGTAGCTGAGAGTGAAGTAGTAGAACCCGTTAGTTAATAAAGGGAAAAGCTATGCAAATTTATACTAGACTCACGAAACACAAACCTTTTGTTTATCAAATGTTCCTGGAAATTTGAAGGTTTATTAGGGAATTATTACTTCTACAACCGCACTATTAGTAACAATATTTTAAAACTAAGCTCAGAAACATGCTTAAAAACAAGATTGTAATCACTACTTGAAGCATAAAGAACGCAGACAACTAAACTATTCCCTATATGTTATTCGGAACTGGAAATCTTGTTCAGATAACTTTCAATTACCCGTACCACACAGAAACAACTCAGCAGCTAAATGAAGTTAGGATTAATTTCTTATCATTTTAGTCTTAACCTTTATTTTTTAAGAGTGTATCTTCATTTTCTAAAGAAGGCTGCAATTCTGAAAGATGGATGGAGTCACTGGATAAAGTTCTACATCCATGCATTTCGTCAATTCTTTCAAAAAAACATTGTTTCACAAATGCGGGTATACCTATCCAGTTGTTTTTTTTCAACAAAAGAATGGAATCAGTTTTCGACTAATTTATTTGTGTGTATTGTGCACAGAAGTACAGACGAAATCCAGGAAAAGGGGCTATCACTCAGCTGGTAATCAGTAATTATTGTTGCCTGTAGCAAACACCGCTAAGTAATGACAACAAATAAATCTTTTTGTTAAAGAAAGGAAGACGAAGTTTGCAGTATAAAATGATATCTATATAACCATTGTAATTTCAGGTAGTCTGCAGCTGATGAGAACCTGTGAAATAGAATGATATCATTTTATACTGCAAAATTCGTCTTCCTTTCTTTATCGAAATTTATCAAGGGAACCAAATGTATGAAATCTTTTTGTGATAGGTAATTTCCACCTTTCCACTGAATATATACAATATGATTTGCTTTCCTTTTTGTAAATGATAATGTGAATAAAATAATGGTTGCAACTAAGTCATCGTAAGTAAACTAAAGTGAGTTATTTGTAGAAAACATATATATATATATATATATAAGCCCACTTACCTGTTCGGACTGTCCATAATTCCGGAGCCATGTAACATAAGGTCCCGTATACGGAGGGTTCATTATATTGTACAGTTCTAGACGATGCGAAATCAGCCAATTTAACACAACGCAATTTATCAAAGCCTAGAATATTTGATGGCTTAATATCTGCATGTACAATTGGAGGGGAACATAGACGATGCAAGTAGTCTGAAGCCCGACTAATTTGTAAAATCCAAATCAAAACATGCAGCAGATTGTAATCAACTTCAGGAAAGTCATACAGCACTAGATAGACAATTAATACAATTTTACAAGAGTAAAAAATTAGAAAAACGTTAAGAAATAAACACTTATACAAACGTAAACATAATACCAGTTCTTGGTATGGTTGCGTCCCCTGAGATGGCTGGTTAAATTACCAAGTTATCATTGTCCTAACGGACAACATCTTTAGCGCAAACTCTAATGTGAAGTGAACGCAACCAGATCAAAATCATCCATCTAAGTTGAAAATTTCTATAATACCAGCGAGAAAGTCAAATATTAACTTGTTGGGTACTGATCGACATATCGGCAAAATTACTAGGCAGTTATTGCTTAGATGAAAGAACGTTATTTTTCATTTCACGCGTCACACCTGCCGAATAAGGCAGAAATTTTCTTCAACTCAATACCTCTGAGAGAAAACGATGAAACGAAATATAAATGAGCTACAACGGTTACTGAAATTACCTCATTTAGTATCAGTAAAACCAAAATTGTAACAATTTGGAGATCGGAAAGTTATGCCAAGAATAGCAGTCCAACGTATAATCAAATTCCAAGTCAGTCTAGACAAATGACTAACTAGTGCAAAAAATATGTTGCATTGAAATACACAACCAACTGACAGAATACTCGCAATTACAGCTGAATGAAAACCTGCTACTTCCTCCTACAAGCATGAAGAAGCCTTCCCATATTAGTTTTACAACGTCCAGAAAAGCCTTCAGCTACCTTCCTAGGTTATTGTTTCCCCTGGCAATAAACAAGAGCTTAACGCTGTCAGCTTAGAATTCGAATGTAAATTCACACGCTGAGTAATTTTTTAAGTCCTCTGCATAACAAGTGAAATTGTTCTCAACCATAGGAACTTACTAGCTACATAGTATACACTACTTAACCTTTAGTGTGATGAAATATTACTTCAATTTCCATTATTCCTACGTCAGTTTCATCTCACAAATAATATGATAAAAGCAAATAGTCACTTTGTAAATCTTATTAATTGTTACTCGGCGCAACAATTCAATAATTTTTGACACTAACAAGTCATTCTGACTTATCAACGGAGTGTTACACTAGCCCAAATAAATATATCAGAAATTTGCTTTCATTATGTTTACAGCCAGCATTCAAGACCCAAATTGAAATAGTGTGTGAATATCAAGCTATCACATTTCATAATAGAGATAAGATGACGTACGTCGTCCCGATTAATAAAACGTCTTTTACGTAGGCATCAAACAGATAACATTTTAGTTCAAAACATGGATTTATAAATTAAATATTTTCAGCTTAAAGAACATATTAATCCTTGAGGCAATTTTGGATTAGGTTTCATGTAAGGGACCAAAAGCATTATAAAAGTGGCCCAAAATTATGCGTATTCACGTGTATTCAAGCTGTATATCACAGGACAAACTTAAAACCGACAAGTAACCTAAAGAAGAAAAAACACAACAGCAGACAAAAAGATTAGCCCCAAACTTTATGTAAAGATGCATAAGTTTATGCGGAACATTTTGTAACAAAACACAAAATGGAAGAGAAAGGTAATGGGATGATATTAAAATGAATGGAGCCGGTCAGAATAATTAGATGAATAGAGTAAGAGTGTCCAACAATTAGATGATAAAGGGTGGAAATATTTGTTCGCCGAAGAGGATTTTAGGCGAAGCTACAAACACTTTCCAGCCACTCACTCATAACACTCAAAAGAAATAAACTGAAACTTCATGGGAATCATGGTACTAAAAGTTTTAATTTAATTTTTCCCAATTTCGCCCTGGTAGAATTATAATATGCGTTAGCTTTAAGTGAAGACACTGTTATGGACTAACCGAGTATGAGTATGATTAACGAGATGTAACGGAACGACTAGTATTGCTTAGTACTTAAATTTCCCTGACCCGAAAGGAGGAATTAGAAGACTCCCACGTTGACGAAGGATACGTGTATTATTCCGACAAGAGGAATCATCTGTCAAACAAGAGTGTGAGTGGAAAAGAAGAAAAAAAGTGCCAATTAATTGTGCAGTGCAAGAGTATATAGAAAATAACTAACATAAACCGATAAGATAGATAAGTAGTTTTTCTTACCACCAACTGGATTCTGATTGGTTGCAGTGTCATGCAACAAAGGTCATACATTGTTTATTTGGTTAATAGACAGACAAGATATTAGACGGTTGGAGGCAATCGGCAGGAAGCCTTGCTCGACCTATGTTTCGTGCTAGTTGGCACTCAAGTCAACAAGGCGTATCTGCAACCTTGAAGGAACTCATGTCCCTTCTGAGATTCAAACCCACCTCACGCAGTGCTGCAGTCAGAGACGTTACCACTGAGGTATTCGGGCTCGCAATTGACCTCCTGTAGGACGTAGTGAATACTTTGATTGGACACTAGTAATTAGTGCGATGTGTCTAGTCTTTTCTTTGGTGAAGACTGAATTCTATCAGTCAGGTGTGCAATGTGTCCACCATTCTAGGTAGCTCGCCATCACGGTGCACATTGATTTGTTGATATTAGATGGTTGGAGGCAATCGGCAAGAAGCCTTGCACCTATGTTTTGTGCTGGTTGGCACTCGTCATTATCAAATCAATGTGCACCGTGGTGGCGAGCTACCTAGAATGTTTGACAGTTGATTCCCCTTGTCGGAATAATACTCTTATCTTTTGTCAACGTGGGGGTCTTCTAATTCTTCCCTTCGGGTCAGGGAAATTTAACTACTAAAAACAACAAAAAGATATGCTGAGATGAAGTTAAAGAATAATTTAGAAATGGAATTTACATTTTACTATTAAACATCTAAAAGTGGTAAAAATTTCATATGCCTCAGTAGTTATGCTATAAGGACTACATTAAAACAGAAGACTATTATGGCCAGTACATGAAATTAACTCAGGCAGCAGCTGTTGGTCTGAACCATGTACATTTAATGACTGCATAAAAAGGCTACGTGATACAGTTCAGGATAGGCCACAATGGAATAGACACATACCTACCTTATCTTCATTTTAACTGTAATATAACATTTATTAATTCATTTTATCTATCCCTGCTTTTTGTGATATCATACAACAATCTATCGATATGTGAAATCCAAGGCTTCGTTTTCATTCTTGCTACTTATTTAGTGTAGATATGAATTTTAGTAACTCAAACTACCATGCAGTAAAGCTAGGTCCTATGTGGATTTCTGTCTAAAAAGTGATAATTCTAAAGTAATTACGTAAAAGATCATAGATACTATTTGTGCACTATAATACGGGAATATTTGTTCATTCTGTCTTTGAATTTTTCGCATACATACTGCTACCAACGGGTGATAAAATTCATTTGAGGTATTCTCCAATCTTACTACAATATTTTCTGTATGCATTTGACAGGTTGTTTTTCTTCACTTTGATTAAGTTCATTTACATCACATTTAAATGCCTCAGTATGCAATATACACTCCGTGTTTACATTAATACACTTAAATTAATTTCCTCCAAACAAATGGTACACATGTTGTTATATATTGAACATTCGTATCCGAAATATGTCTGCTTGAATTACAGTATTTTTAAATTTATTCCGAAATTTTGCTGCAATGTATCACAAAACAGTATCCTGGTCCTTAAAATAAGCCAGAGCAACTGATAAGCTCTTCTTCCAGAGGTATAATCACTTAGACATATGAGAGCGTTCAACTTCCAGTCACTGTGTCATAGCTTCAAGCCCATTGTCATGACTGGGACAGCTGAACAGAGATGTTAGCTTACAATTAACTACTAACAATCATAACCTAACGCAAGATCTCATACCATCACTTAATTCGGCTTCTAAGTTAAAAATCAAATCAAATTATTCTAAAATAAATAGATATACCCTTCTGTAATGACTGATACTCAGCATATTCAAGAACTAGAAAAGAACAACTCTGTGGTAATGCAGGTCCAGCAGCCAACAACTTTATGATATTTTCATGTTCAATCTGTCCGATAAGTGATAATTCTTTCCGTGCCAAATGCAAACAATTTTCATGGAAACGTTTCACGATAACTCTCCTGTCATTCCAAAATCCAAGATATATGTCAGCGGAAGAAGTAACTGCTAAAGTATGCTGAATAAATAAAGTGAGTTGTGATTCGGGCAAAATTACCTTTTCCGTCAGTATTCTTTCCAACAGTTCTGCATTAACAGTGATAACTGATTTGCCAGATAAGCCATCCACCATAATAAATTTTGCAGATATGGTATGACCGAAAATTGAAATGCTGTTTCAGCTTGAAAGAAACGGAATATTTACAACTATTAAAACGTACTTACTAAAACCAATGATAACTACGACCTTTATTTAACACTCTACGCCTAGTCTCAACCTACTGACTTCACTTTATGCTTCTCATCATATAAGGCACATAATAGGCAGCCAAAAATATTGTCATTACCAGTCCGGACGTTTTTATACATGCTGGGAATTCTTCACTTTAGACTTCAGTGTCAAATCAAGAGTGAAATTACACCAACACTAAAGCGTCATCTTACATTTGAAAGGACACTTTTAGGTATAGCCTAAATGATCTATTACTTCCACATAACTTAAATCAACCAACTTAATTCTTTACAGATAAGTAGCCTTTACGATTGGGGTGAAGTAGAGTCATTTTACAATTGCATCTTTAGCAAAATTAAGTAGACGCCGTAATATCGGAATTTGTTTAACGACTCCATGTCAGATAGCAATTTTTACGAGGATCTTACGCAGCTATGTGAGTGCGAATACCGTGTATATTAAATCATTTCAAGAACTTATTGTTGGTTTGAATTCTATAAGAGTGTTCGACCTTAAATTGTCGACTGTAAAACCAAACCGAAAATATGGCTAAAAAGTAGTTAGGGTAGAGGGAATGCACGCACGTTTTTGTAATTTTAGATGCCGTCCTGTAGCATGTTTCTGTGAGTTTCGTCATATTCCCACTTTTTAGAGATTCTTCCTTGACCTTTGTTGCTTCATGGACTGGTGAAGCTTTGTATTTTGGATAACAGTAAGACCATCTCACCTTATGATTACCTGAATGCAAATCGCTTGATTAAGATAATCGGTATCACACTTTTAACCTGGCATTCCTGGCACTTTATTACTTTCTCCAGTTACCTCGAAAAAAAGTCAAATAAACCTCAAACAAACAGCAATGGACGCTTGACTCTGAAGCCCCATGTTCCACTCGGAACAAATAATAAAATGATAGGTATAATAATTAATCAAAAGGTCCATCTACTTAATCTATTTAAAACATTTCCACTTTAAGGAAATCATAATCTCCACTCATTGTTTCACATACTGTGTAAGCATTTCACATTTTTGAGAAACATATGGGGGCAAAAGTTTATATTGCTCAGTGGAATAAAAAAGAGACATTTAATGGGACTTCACAGTTACTTCCCCAACAACTGTTATCATGTTACCCTATATATGGCATGACTAAGTAAATTTTGGTTTGGCATTACTAATGCGCCTATTAGGATAAGTAAATAAGAGCATCACCGTCACTTTTTCACTGGAAAATACAAATTTGCCATATCTTTTGAAATAATTATATGTGAACTTACAAGTCTCTACCATGTTCTACAGTTCAATGCTGTAGGAGAATTTAAGAGAAATTATTGATCTAATCCACCTGCGCACCTATACTTGTGTAGATAAATCAATGTCTTGCGAGACTCCTCTTTACAAAACACTTTTGTAAGAATGTTTCTTATGGACTAAACGGCTAAGTTCATTTACATGCGAAAAAAAGGACCAAACAAATACATACATGTATGTATGTAGAAAGGAATTCAGTCCACACAAATTGATATACACATAAAATACAGACATGTGAGTTAGGTTTGTCCCAAAATACGCAAATACAGACGTACAGAATTGCAATTATGAAGCAGTCCCTTTTTTTAATGCAGTTGCTCACTCCACTTATGAGTAAGACAACAGCCTAAGGGTACTAGAGGAGAGAAAAGGAGATTGAAATAAAGGATCTGAATGTGGACGTACAGATCAGATACGAGCCACAGATGATTGGCAAATGTGGAAAGCAAGAAGGTGGAGAGGGAAGTTGTGTCGTCAGTATCTCAAGTCACAATGTGGAGTGAATTCATTATTTTTACTATTTTACAATGAAAGTTTAGTTTGATATTTTTCGGCCCCCACGCGTTTGAGTATTTCTGTGACAACTTAAAATTAAAATAATGCAGAGATAATGGTAGTTAACACTGAAATACCGTCTTTTTACACGGTGAGTGCTGTAAGAATACCTAAATGACATGATTCCTCATACAATGCTGTTTTTCCGCATCACGCATTGTTTCAGCACTGGCTGACACTCAATTATGCGAAGAAATTTTCCCGCACTTCCAGCACAAATCAAAAACCTACTATTATAATCTCTGTAATTTGTGCATCAAGCGCTTCTTCACCTGCACTAATTTGGAGCAAACCGCTGCTTTTCACCATCGACTGCATTACTTCAGCACACCCAAAGCTCACAATAATTCTAACCTAAGCGTCGAAAAAGCTTTTTTGTGGTAATGAATAATTCATCTACTTGAAATGAATCCACTACGAACTTAAATAACGCCAATAAATCTTAAAAAGAGCACATGACGTTTAATTAATGCCATGAAACCTTAATAATAGGATTTGCAGCTGAAATAATGCATTCAGGGCTGAAAAAAGCTTAAAATATTGCCACTACGTGCTGAATTGTCTTTTTTCCTAAAATTATGCTAGTCAGTGCTAAATGTGGCCTGTGAGGGCTAAAACGACGCTGTTAAGTAAACAAATACATACATCTGCGGGCTTAAACAAACCATTTCAGAACAGATTCAGAATTTACTCACTAGAGAATGTTAGAGTTAGTTCAGAATTATTGAGGTTTAATTCAACATTATAGTGAGCGTGGGACTCCGTATCTTCCCTAATTATAATTAGAGAAAGAAAGACTGTCCAGTATTGCAATCAGTTGTTCAGGCACAGCATGGCTGTGAGCATATATAATGCCCAAAGTATCTTAATGAAACTTTCATTTTTATGCACTAGAGTGATAAAAGTATCTATACTATTACTGAACGCAACTGTAGGAAACATACGAACGGAATGTATCAAAATTGCCCTAAGAACCTGAACAGTGGTTTCACTGTTTTCAAATAAAAGTTAAAAACCTAGTTCACTTGAAAAGTAAGTGGAAAGTTGCGGAACAATCTGAACCGATAACTACTCACATATTTACCTTAAAAAGAATAACGGGAACAGTTGGAAGGTCGGCCTTGAGCAGAACGGAATGCATTCAATATCTAATATCTTCATCCAATATCCAATATCGTTTTTACGAGCTAGTATAAACCAATTTGATTTCTTTGTGCTCGCCTATTGATTGTATAGGTTCCTGATCTTCAGTAAACTTATGCGTAGCTCGTCCCGCCACTCGACTGTCGTAGCTTTTGTTGACTCCAAAAGGAGTATCCAATCCAATATCCAATATCGTTTTTACGAGCTAGTATAAACCAATTTGATTTCTTTGTGCTCGCCTCTTGATTGTGAGGTATAGGTTCTTGATCTTCGATTAGTGTAAATAACGGGTTGCTTAAAAAGGCTTGAGGAATGCTATTAGACGCTTAACTCGGGGGAAAATGCTAACGGACACCAAAAAAGCGACAGGAGCTTACTATAATGTTGATTTAAATCTCACTAATTCCAAACCGACTCTAACTTTCTGTAATGAGTTAAATTCTTTGTTCTGAAATGGTTTGGTTATGCCCACAGACTAGATATCGGCGCTGGTTTTCGGAATAGCTGTGCACTTTGTAGGCATTTCAAGAAGTAGCTCAGAATCTACTGTGTTTGCTAGTCAACTTTATTTGTCGCATTAATGAAACGCCCAGTGTTCTTTTTAGGAACGACCACCACTATTGAGGTACATAGTGGGCTCATTCTATGTAGGTAATGTATTCCTTTACCATAAAAAGGCATCGTCAACGCATAGGTTATAATTAGTGTTGAACTATTGTAAGCTTGGTGTTTGTTCGGGATTTATTCGTACGATGTTAATAATGTGTTAAAACCTCCACGACACTATACCTAATCATATTTGGACAACAGATTAACGAAAGTTTTAAGCGCTACTCTGCCAAAAAGTCGAAATAGTGAACCAACCTTGTATATTCGATATCAAACACCAAACAGACGAAAGAAGAATGTAACGCAAGGAAGTGAAAGTAGTGGTGGGATTAACTGTATGATGACCTTGCGAAGACTAACTCATTTTCTGCGATTAGCTTCTTTGTGATACATTCGATGGACATAGGATGTGATGAATTAACTTGATTTTTAGAGATTTCAATGTCAATCACCGATGTACTCATATCTACTGGTAGCAAACAAAGACATCGTGGATAGTTGGTGCTTTGAAGAGGCCTGTAATGGCGCATCATCACTGTATTCTTGACTGGTGGCAGAGCGTAAGGAGCAGGCTTGACAACCAAGCGGAGGTAAGCCACTTGTGAAAATACGGCATAAGACCAACAGCTATTCAGTAACATTGAACAGTTATCTATTGTAAAACAGAACGCCTACGATATTCTTCAAAACTGAAGCTTGCCTGAATGTTCATGTTCGCAGTTTTGATCAAATTTGCATTTTGAGCTGATCTCTCTTACTTAACTGGGTCTAACCAGGTACAATACTGATATCCTCGACTTCAAGGGGTTTTTGGCTAGCACCCTCCCACAGACTTCCAGTATCCTACTGATGAGAAAGGACAGATATCCACCTCAATTCTGGCTGCTGGTTTGTGTGTCGTAACCTGGTCCTCTGACTTAGTTTTCTATCTCTCGACACCGCATGCGACTTTCCATGACGTTTCTTGGTTACATCTTCCCCTAATATCTAGGATCCTATTCCAATAGTGTGTGTGGCACACGTGCCCTCCTGTAATCTGATTTTACCTTAGAATTAATGGCATAGCTTGGCATTTCGATTGCTATATAACAAAGTATTCCGTTGGGCCAAGACCAATCTAGTAATACAATACCTACGCCAATCCAAACTGGGCGATTACTGGGGGGGGGGATGATCTACAAATTCGTACTCCTAAACTACTAGATGTCAGTAAAAATTCCTTAAATTCTTTCACCTGAACCAACTTTAATGTTCGAATGGGCACGTCGTTATTCATCTACCTTCTGAAGGCCAAAATTAAATCATGTATCTGCTTAAATGCAATATGAGCATATGGCATTCGAATCGAGACGGTAGACCTATTGCCTTCAGTATTCTGGTCTGAAATGAAAAATTTAACAACGCCAGACCTAAGACGGAATCACAAAATGAGGCATTGGCCATAGCTGTCGCCATTAAATTTATCCTACTGGCATTCGATTACGTGGGTATGTCTAATATCACATATCAAATTTTGAGACTGCTCGGGAATGGGACGTCTAAGCGCCATACCGAAAGATATTCACCCGCAAAGAAATGTAAGTTATGTCAGATATTTTTGATATTTGATTTTTGATTCTTCCAGGTACGTCTGCTGCGAAGCCTTTACATCTTGTGAACTGCCAAGGCTCAGTCAGCCAAGGATATAATAAACCAATTATCTCGGCACTGTGTACCATTATTTTCTTGAGCTCCGATTGGACGTAGGGCTTCAACACATATCTCCACTTTATCATATGTTCTGCCGTCCTCTTCAGCTTGGACCACGATTGGACAAACTGTCTCAACTCCTCTTCGCACCATATACTCCGTGTCCACATTGCACCGATGACCCATTCGTCGCTTCCTATTCGGATTCCACTCGAGACATGGCCTGCGTAGCTCGCGATGTCATTCGACGGCTTCCTCAACACGTGCCCAGCCCATCTTCATTTTCGCCTACATATCTGTCGAGCAATAGGCTCTCGCTTGTTGGTTTGTTGTCAGACAGAGTTTCTTGTTACTAATCCTCTCTGGCCAGACGAATGGTAATTTGATCTCCAGTATGGAACCAGCCAGCGAAGTGGGTAGCTGTTGATAAGAGTCTGCATTTGGCTGTTGGAAATGCTTTTTCATAGTACGCTGGTCAAGTTTCTGACTCGCATAGAAGCGGTGACTGACTTCACATTGGTGTTGGAAATCTGAATCTTGTTCTTGATTCTGGCTGAGTGCAGAAGATTTCCAGACTGGTTTCAAGTTGACGAAAGCCTAATTTGCCCTTCCGACTCTGGCCTATTTCCACATCTTCATCCGTTCCGACTGCTTGAAGTTGAAGCAATGCTTCCTGGATGAGTGGAGGCAGGAAGTAACCTCTGTCAAATCTCTCCCGTTGATGGTGAGTGGTGTTGGTTGTTGTTGTTGTTGATGTTGCTATTGCGGTTCGTTGGTTATCTTCATCACCTACCTACGTCTTCTCTACGTTGACCTGCAGTCCTTTCTTCGCTGACAGCCTCTTCAGTCAGTTTGTCGGTTTTCGCTTGCAAGTGTTCGAGTTTGTTGGAAATTACGACATATATCATCAGCATAATCCAGTCCACCACAGTTCACCATATCATCATCGGTGATAACAGACAGCCAGCCAGCCAAACTTGTCATACTCCTGTATTCACTCCGAACACCTCACTGAGGCTTCCGTTATAGATCACCTGACACGTGGTGGGCATTGTCATATAGCCAGCTGTTGGATGAGACTGATAAAGATTTGGTCACTTCACGCCATAGTGTTGAAGTAGTTTCCAAATTACTTCCCAGTCAACACTATCTGTTGAGTGCCCTTTCGAAGTCGATGAGGAAAGTTGAGGTAAAGAAAGTTCCGACTTCCATCCTATACATTGTTGTGTGGTGATGATGCGTAGAGTTGTTATTTGATCAGAACATGATTTGCCTCTCCGGAATCCAGCTTGTTCCATGCCAGCGGAATTCGTTATCCAGTATGTTTTATATTCTCACCAGGACGATGTGAGTTAGTATTTTACTTGGCGTGGACAAGAGCATTATTCCACGCCAGTTCTTGCAGATTGAGGCGTAAGTTGCCCTTCTCTGGCTGGTTGACAAGATAGCCAGGCTTTCTTCCGATCAGTAGGTACCTTTCCTCCTTCCGAAACCTTTTGCAGTGATGGCGTGAGAGCACCTGCCACAATCTCTGGATCCGTTTTCAGCACTTCGGGGTGGGGGAATTCCATGTAGTCCTCTTGCCTTTTCAGCTGGCCTCCAGTAGCTTGATCGCATTCAAGATTTCTGCTTTCGTTGGGGGATCGTTGTCCACTGGGAGGCTGTTTTGTGTGTGCTGTTGTTGTTGGTGGTGGTATTTCTGTCATTGTCACCTGAGTGACCAGACCGAGGTAGATTTCTGACTCTCCAGTCGATAATTTTGACAATCTACGTATATTCCATCTGCTTTCACAGATACCCAGTAATTCTAAGCCATATTTTCGCATCTCTTCAGCTACCTGGGCAGCCTTTCCATCCAGCATCGTACATTGTACGCACACTCCACATGGCAATTTATATTCTTGCTTTCATCGAGAGAAGATATTTCGTGTGGTTGACAGTCTCCCTGAAGGCTTTCACCGGCCCGCTGAATTATTTCACATCTCCGATTTTAGTGAGGAATAAGATTGCTTGTCAATGTAGTTGAAGATTGAACGATCAATTCATGGTTGTTCGCTCAAAACCAACTTCTCCAATTTTCGCGGAGGCATCAATATGACAGTCGTCGTCTCATCGGTCGCTGTTCAGAAAGAAGTCAGGAGACAACCGTCAGAAGTAATATTGTGATTTGTTATTGTAATATTTGTTCATAGACCTTAGTTGTAAAGTTGGCTATATGTTGGTGTTGGAATGAATAATTCTCGAGTTGCCAAACTGGGTTCTGGTTTTTGCGTCCGTTTAAACTAAGCGTTTCTGAGAAGCTTCGAGGAACAGCGTGAGTCCCAGCGTAGCAATATTTTTCTGCGTCGATATTTCTCTAGTATTTTGATTGGTTTTATGATGTATTGTCGCTGGCCCTACTTCCAACTCTCCGTCTATACCAGGTCTTGGGACCAGTCAGAAAACTAGCGAGCTATTTATCTAGGAGAGGCTGAATTTTTAGTATGGTGGAAAATAATTACGGGGTCAATACAGTGTGTTATCGCTGAAAGACTTGCATAAACTTTTGTAGGAAACACGACTTCCCTGGAGGCCATCAATACATCTTTTTCCAGTTAAAGCCATGCTATAGTTTGAAACTTAACAGGTTATATCAAAGCTTTTGGAAAGACAGGAACTCTTGTGCTCTTCGAATTGTCCGGTATAACTCACTCCCTCACGTCTACATTCAACGTCATTACAAATGATGCACAACTCGATATTAAGGCCTCAAAGTCGCAAGAAGCAAACGTTCCCAACCGCTTTAAAATTGTCCATAAATCTGATCTCATCACTTGCAACAATTCCTTGGCATTTCGTCCTTCCAATCAAGGCCAGTTTGCACAGTCTTATTAGTAGTTCCTCGCAGGCTTAACTTACAGGTGCAAGTGAGAGAGTGCCCTTGAGAACGTTCCAGACATGTTGACGGAGCTACCATATTTGCGGATTTTGTCA